AAAGCATGTGTGTCTGCATGTCCGCTTATTCATACATGTATACACACATGGACACAAACCAAACTAGATCAATTTTCCAACTAAACTCCTTTCTCATTTAAAATGATACATGTAAGGCAACCCCTTAGCACTCTATTCTACCTTAGATACTGACTCTCTTCACCGTATTCCCAGGGTGGCTCTCTCTGACGTCACATAGACAGTATATCTTACGAGTTTAATGTAGAAAACAAGGAAGGACTAAGAAGAGAAAAGGAAATAGAAATTTCAAATAACTCAGCTGCAATGGAAGAAAGTATGGGAAAAGAAAGGTGGCGAAAAACTCACAAGGCTCAGTGTTATGGCCCTAAGTGACACTAGCTAATGTTATTATTAAATTAAGATTTTTTAAAGTATATTTTCAAAAAATCATCATCTTAGTGACTTGGTGCAAGTACTTTATACTTTCTCATTCACAAACTTCCTGGTTCTATGCTTAACTTGTACTCTTTATCCCAAATGAATGGGGCTATAAGGATTATATTTTTTTGGATATTTATTATTTGGAGAATATCTCTCTCCTATTGTTCCTCTGAAAGAAGAATTTCTTCCACAAATGTGATTCTTGAGGTGGTAAGTTACTACTACAAGTATTCAAATAAAGCTTGAATTGCCACCTGTTAAGGCTTTGAGTGAGACTGGACTAGAAGATCTAGGAAAGTGGACATAGAATCAGCTTGGTATCCTCCAAATTAATTCTTGAATTAGAAATTTTCTAAAGCACTTACAGGGCAATACACACAATAGGTGCTCAATAAATGTTTGTTGATTAACTGATTAAGAAAAGGTTCTTTACTCCATTTGCTAAATTACTAAATTTAAAACAAGAGACTTTCCTGGTCCTAGCATTCAATCCTATAAAAAATATTCGATACTATAAAAATTTTATCTGTAATAGGAGGCAATCCCACAAATATATACATATGTATATTTATATATGTGTGTATCCTTCAAAAAGGGGACTAATAAAATGGTCACCATGTGACTCTTCAGCCTCTCCATCTATCCTATGATGTCTTGATCTAGATAAACTCTTTATCTTTTGAACATTTTCTATAGAGTGTAGGCTTATTTCCCTTCCCAAGTATAATCCAATTCAACAAATATTATGAATTACTTATTGCTATAGAAAGTGTTCACTAATTCATGCACTGCCTTCCAGAACTTGTTACATAATATTAACACATTAAAGAGGGCATTGAATGTTTTTCTTGTTCAACTGCGTACGCTTCTATTCTTGTGCTCCTCTCGGGCAAGCATTTGCTTTTTGTACGATTCCTATAGAACAAAGATTTTTCAGCCTTTTCTCAAAACACCAGCATAAGAATAATAAGGGATGGCTTGGTAATTTATGGATGTTTTCATCAATATAGCTCCAACCCACATATCTTTAAATATCTTCTCTTAGGTTTGCATAAGTTACAAGTTCATACTGGGATGCTATTTTAAATAGTCAAGCTATTTGGAAATGAAACTGGCTACCTTTTTAAGTAGTGACCAAGTCTTCACCGCTGGAAGTATCCAAGGAAAGACTGAATGACCATCTGTCAAGGATAACATAAAAGATACTCTTGCAGTGAGTGAGGCTGGACTAGATGATATGGGACACTGAAGAGTAAGTCAGGGATGGAAAGAAAATTAGAAGTCTAACCCCTTCAGTTTTACAAATGTGAAAATGGAGGCCCCAAAGTCTAAGTTTTCTCCCCAAAGTTTTCTTTCTAAGATTCTAAAATAATTTCCTTGATAGTTTTATTAGTGGTACTACCACTGTGACTTCTGCTCTATGTAGTACCTTCCTCAGTTCACTATTTTAATCACTAGACTGAATCTCTTCTGGTTTAGTTCACCTTACCAACTTCACACTACCCTATACTTCTTATGGATACCAATTTTCCATAATGTTAAGAACCTCTAGCCATTTGAAATGATAAAACATGTTGAAATTATTCAGTCAGCATAATGTCACAATATAGCTTCAACATAGGTGTGTTATAGTTTGTAAACACTGTTCCCACGAGGACCAACCAAAATGAAAAACAACATAGGAACAATAAGATAAGGTATTAAGGAGTCTATGATCCTTAGACATCAAAGAACAACAAAGCAGTATTCAAACACCCACAAAAAAAATCCTGTAATTAAAAAAAAGAAAAGGAAAAGGAAAAGAAAACCCTAAACCATTTTCTGCATGTGTACAATTCATTCTTTCTCTGCTCCCAGGGAACTGTCCCTTTCAGCACCACAGCATTAAAAGCTATCAAATCCGAAGAACAGAGGTCCCGGATTGGGTCACTAAGAAAAAGGTCTAATTAGCTGCGAGAGATATCTAAAGGTAGGGAAATGCAGATATTTAAATTAAAATAAACAGAATATGTTTCACTTTATTCTGCATTAACAAGCAGCCTAGTACCATAAAAAGAACTCTGGCTCTAGAGCTAAAAGAGTTCAAATCTTGCCTCTGACACAGAACCTGCATGACCTTGGGCACGTCACTGAACTTCCTGGACCTCAGTTACTTCGACTGTAAAATGAGGAGATTAGACTATACAGCTTCTGAGGTCCCTTCCAGCTGTAGAGCAATGATCATATGATCCTTTCTTAAGGAGGTTTCATGGCAAAGCTGATAAGGCACTGGATTTGGGAGCCTGGAAGACCAGAGTTCAAATCTTACTTCAAACATTTACTAGCTCTGTGATCCACTTAATCTTTCTGTGCCTTAGTCTCCTCATCTGTAAAATGAGGGAATTGGACCCTATGGCTTCTCACGGTTCTTTCCAGTTCTAAATCTATGATTCTATTATCATGAAATAAAATCTCCCCAAAATTTTTTTTATAGTCAGCAAAAGCCTTGGGGATCATATGCCAGAAGCAAAAAAATCACAGCCTTGTCTGTCAGGCACTACATCTATGCACAAGAAACCCATAGGTTTGCTTCCCAATCCCCTCCACCACCCCTCTTGAGAAAGAGTTTTGTATGCACATACCCTGAATCAGAGATACAGAGGACAGGCTTCCAGCCCTCTCCAAGGATAGCCTTGATTTCTAGGACAGAAAATGCTTGCTGGACACCAAACCATCCCCCTAGCAATCAAATCCTCTTTCAGTGAGAAGTGCAGGCCTTATGGGTCATGAGTTCCCATGAAAAAAATGCTGCAGTGTTTCCAGAACCAGGTTACAGACAATGTGCTACTGTACAAAGCTCTCAGCATTCTAAGCTCCACTCCCTTGAGTCTCTGCCTTTAGGAATCCCACCAGGAAGTCAAATCAGTCACTTGCATTACACATCAAAAAGAAATTTAAAGGGGGGGGGCAGAAAGAAATCCTCCCTCTCTCCCAATACATTAGAGTACTTAAATAAACGTTGAAAAACCCACCCCATCCGCAACCTACCTTGGGAAGCTCAAACACCTCTGAAGCTCCCTCTCCAGGGGACCTCGACATTGAAATTTCAGAAAACATTTATAAAAAGGACTCTCTCCTGACCCCCAGGTCCTTAATCCTACTACCCATTTCCACCTCTGGTTCTCCTCTGCTTGTCCACTATGGGATCAGCAGCAGCATTCCACTTAAGGCAGAATCTGCAGCTTACTACCACCTCCCCACATCTGAATTTATCAGGTACAATTGCAAAGTTCCTCCCTTCCCTACAAAACTGATGACACATTCTACAGGGACTGGCCCCAAGCTGTATAGCCTCCAGATGTTCAAGCTGTGTGAAATGTATTCCCCACCCCTATCCCCACAAAGTGCAATGTAAGGGAAGGAAGAAGAGACCACTAAAGGTAGATGGCACTGGGTGGGGTAGTTGGAAAGGAACGTGATGAAAGAATTCTATTGATCAAGTTGAAAATCAATTCCCTTTTCATCTGGAAAGTCTAGGCCATTTGAAGGGGTCTGGAAGCCTTCCCTTAACCCCCAGAAAGTTCAGTGCCAGGTCTCCACTGGTGGCTGCGCTGGTGTTCAAGGGATGAGGCTGAGCTACAAGGGGAAATGCGGAGGCCTTGCGGTCCCAGGAGTGGGGGGGGGGGGAGAGAAGGGAGAAGGAAGGAGGAGAAGAGGAGAAGCCCCCGATGACTGACAAACAGCCCCTTAATGCCAAATGCAAACATGAAACCCAGATTGCTGGTGCTGCAGCGGCTGGGAAGGGGCTGGGAGAGCTGGAAAAGAGGAGAGAGACAGGCGCTGCATCGGGTGGTGTGGGGGTGGGGGTGGGGGAAGGGGATATTCTGAAAGTGATGTACTCTCTAATGCAGGAGCCTGAGCCCTGCTGGGAGTGGGAAAGGTGGATTCCAAAGGCAAGTCCTAGACTCCCCGAGCCTTAAAAGACCCACAGCACCCATATTCGGGGGAGAGGGGGAAGAGGAATAACATCGGGGGTACAGGAAAGGCAAAGTTGGGGGGAGAGAGACGTTGGCTTCTCCCACCAGCCCAAGAGTCCCGTTTCTGCAGCCGAGAGCGTTCCGGGGACAGGAGACGGGAGGGATGCAGTAAAGGATGGGAAGGGGGGCAGGGACGAGGGGCGGCGGTAAACAGCCCCGGACAGCTCCGTCCTGCCCACTGCAGCCCGGGCAGAGGCCCCGGACCCAGCCCTCAGGGTCTGCTCCAGGGGGGGAGCCCGAGCCAGGCCACGAGCCCCCCAAGGCTCCAAAGGATGGAGAGCGGACGAGGCGTGGGGGAGGGAAGGGGACAGGGTGGTCCGGGGTCCCCGAAAGGGTTCAGAGACCCCCGGGGGCCCCGACGGGGCGGGCGGCCCGGAGCCCGGGCACCCGGGCACCCGGGCACCCCTCGGGGGGCGGGCGGGCGGCGGCGGCGGCCCCGGCCGCCTCTCCGCACACTCTGCGGCAAAGCCCCTGACGGGGTGGCCGGGGACGGGGCGGCCGGGGCCGGGGCGGCCGGGGCCGGGGCCGGGGGCTCCCGGGGAAGCGCCGAGGGCCCTCAGCGGCAGGCGAGGGGGCACTTACGGCAAAGGCTGCGAGGGAGGCGGCGGCGGCCCTAGCGCGGGGCCCGGGAGGCGCGGCCGGACTGCAGAGGAGCCGAGGCTGCGGCGGGCGGGACTGCGGTGGGCGCCATCTTGGAGCGCTCCGCGCGCCCGCCCCCCGCGCCGCTCCCCGCGCCGCCGCCCGAGCCCTTGCATAATTGATGACTCGGGTCCGCCGCGCGCGCGCCGCCGCGCCCGCTCCCCTGCCCCCACCCGCCCCGCCGCGGGAGCGAGCGCGAGCGAACGAGAGACTGGGAGAGACAGAGACAGGGAGAGACAGCAAGAGAGACAGAAGAGACAGAGAGAGACAACGAGAGAGACAGGGAGAGACGGGGACAGAAACAGAGACAGAGAGAGAGACAGAGACAGGAAGAGACAGAGACAGAGGACACAGAGATAGAAGAGACAGAGACGGAGAGACAATGAGAGAGACAGACAGGGAGAGACGGAGAAAGAGAGACGGAGACAGGGAGAGACGGTGAGAGAAACAGAGACAGAGACAGGGAGAGACAGGGAGAGAAACAGAGACAGGGAGAGACAGAGACAGAGGACACAGAGACAGAAGAGACAGACTGGGAGAAATAGCGACAGAGAGGGAGAGACAGTGAGAGAAGCAAAGACAGGGAGAGACAGAGACAGACAGAAGAGATAGGGAGAGACAATGAGAGAGACAGGGAGAGGCGGTGAAAGAAGCAGAGACAGGGAGAGACAGACAGAAGAGATAATAAGGAGAGACAGGGAGAAATAGCGACAGAGACAGGGAGAGGCGGTGAGAGAAGCAGAGACAGAGACAGACAGAAGAGATGGAGAGAGACAGCAAGAGAGGCAGGGAGAGACAATGAGAGAGACAGAGACAGAGGACACAGAGAAACAGAGACAGAAGAGACAAGGAGAGACTGAGAGGACACAGAGATAGTGAGAGAGAGTCAAAGACAGAGAACACAGAGACAGGACGAGACGGTGAGAGAGAGAGAAACAGAAGACACGGAGAGAGACAGAAGAGACAATGACAGAGACACGGAAAGACCGTGAGAGAGAAAGAGCCAGAGGAGACAGAGAAAGAGAAGACAGAGACACAGAGAAACGATGAGAAAGAGACAGGGAGAAGCTATGAGAGACAGAGACAGGGAGAGATGGTGAGAGAGAGAAAGACAGACACAGGCAGAAAGAGGCAGAGAGACAGAGACAAACAGAAACAGACGGAAAGAGAGAGAGAGAGAGAGAGAGAGAGAGAGAGAGAGAGAGAGAGAGAGAGAGAGAGAGAGAGAGAGAGAGAGAGAGAGGAGAGAGAGAGAGAGAGAGAGAGAGAAGCCTGCTCGCTCTCCCCCTTCCCTTCCCTCCCAGTCCGTAGGCCCCCCCCCGCCGGTCCCCCATAGACAAGCTAGCTCTCGGTTGTCAGGGCAGGAAACCTCACAAAATCCACAAACTTTCCTTTTCACCCCCGCTCCCACACACATGCAAAATCGCTCTCAGTTATCCAGGCACAAACCCCACATGATCCAAAAAATTTTCCTTCTCCACCCCCACCCGAAACACACACACTCGATCTTGGCTATCCAGGCTAGGCAACTTCAAAAAATCCAAAAAGTTTCCTTCCCCACTGCCCCAACCCACACTTGCACTCAGTTATCCAGGCTAGGAAACCCACATGAATCAAAAAACTTTCCTTTTCCTCCCTTCCCCACCCCCACCCCCCCCCCCCATATACACACACTAGCTCGCAGTTATCTGGGCTAGGAAACCCCACGTAATACAAAAAACGTTTCTTCCCCATGACCCCGCGCCCCACCGAACACACACACACCCACACACACACACACACACACACACACTGACGAAATTGACAAGTTTGAGAGTGTGTTGTTGTTTTATTTGGTTTTGTTTCTTTTTGGGGGCAAGGCCTGGTCATTTAAAGTTGAATAATCAGATGGTACTTTCTTCTTCCTCCTCCTCCCAGGGAAATGTGTTCAGATTTATCTCCCTGATTTAGGTGGGGAAGGAGTGAAGGAACGATTTTTTTTCTTTAAATTATTCATTCATTCAACAGGCATATATTAGGCCTCGACTAAGGAAATCATCCATAGTCAAATCAATACTTCCATTGCCTGGCGGAAGGGCTGGTCCAAGGAAAACCCTTATTGTTTCCCTCCTCATTCCTAAGGCTCTGTATAATGTCCATGCTACCTAGGAAGTTTAATCTGTCTAATTAGAATATAAACTTCTTGAGGGCTGGGGCTGTCTCACCTTTGTATTTGTATCTCCATGGGATTGTTAGCACAGTGCTGGACAAGGAATAAGTCAAAAATAAATATTTTCATTAATTCATTTTATTTTTACCCAGTGCCTGGCACCTTGCTAGAAGCCGAATGTATAGAAACATAAACACAACAGTCCCAGCGTGCCATCAAGAAATTTACATTCTATTGGTCTATTTATTCTATTAGTTTTATTCAATAGTTATGTTGTTTGTCCTTAGTTCTCGGAGGGGACCCTTCTCCCAAAGAGGTCAAACCACAGACCAAAATATTCCATAATGCCATTGCAGTGCCACACAATACCAAGTCCCCCTGTAGTCATCAACTTTTGGAAAGCCAAGGAATAGAAATCCAGATTAAAGAGAAGATAAATTTTTGACAAGTAGACAAAAGGCTATGGTAGAGACAGTTTCCTTATCTTCCCAGAGCAGTATGTTTCAGTGGTCTCCGAAATGGGAGGCCAAAGTGTGATCCCGAGGAAGTATGCCATCAGCCAATAGGAGTGTGAGGAGATAAACTGCATTCCACCCACCTCCAAATAGCTAATCTGGGGGCTAGTCTCCAGCCCAATCACTCCTGCCCCAAGATCCTGCCTAATCCCTCCCACCACTGTGCAACGTTCATCCTCCCCACTACTACCTAGGTTTGGCCTTCAGGGTACTTACGGCCTAGTACACTAGTGTCTATAGTAGCAGCTGCTGCGCAGGTGCCAGTGGGAAAATCCTACCTTGCCCCACTGCCCCCCAGCACGCTCAACCTTTGCCCTTTCCCCTTTCCCTTTTCCCTTCCATCTTGTGGCAAGCTTTGGCAACTGTGGCAAGATATAGCGACTATAGCAAGTGCTGTTCTCTGGGTGACTAGTAAAAAGCCTCTCCTCATCTTCGTTTTGGAGGCTGCAAGAGTGAGTGTCCTAAGATGAGCTGCTATGGATGGGTTGCAATCTGCAGCGCTGATCTCATTAAACTGTCACTACAAATCCACTCAACTTTGAATTTCCCTATGCTTGTGCAGGTCATCACCAACCCTCTAGTCACCCAGGTTCACAACCTAGGTGTCATGCTGGACTCTTCCCTTTCCCTCTCATATTGTGTGTGTGTGTATGTGGTAATTGGGGTTAAGCGACTTGCCCAAAGTCACACAGCTAGTGTTATGTGTCTGAGGCCGCATTTGAACTCAGGTCCTCCTGACTCCAGTGCCAGCGCTCTATCCACTGCCCCACCTAGCTGCCCCAAATCTTTCTTTCTTTCTTTCTTTCTTTCTTTCTTTCTTCTTTCTTCTTCTTTCTTTCTTTCTTTCTTTCTTTCTTTCTTTCTTTCTTTCTTTCTTTCTTTCTTTTTGTGATTCCCTCTCCATCTCATATGAAAGCAGTTTCCCATCATTATGCCTTTCCTGGTCACTGCTTCTAATTTCCACACCAAGTCTTTTGTTTCTCCATTCATATGGTCACTGCCCTAATTCAGAACCTCTCACCTGTACTGCTGCTTTCACCTCCCAACAGGTCTTCCTGCCTCAAGTCTCACCATTCCAGTCCATTGTTTATTCAGCTACCAAGTGATTTTCCTTAAGAGTAGGTCTAACCATGGCACCTCCCCCATTTCCCCCCCTCAAATTCCAGAGGCTCCCTATTGCATCTAGGATCAAATATCAAGATCTTTGATATTTAAATCCCTTTCAAACCTGGTCCCAACCTACTTTTTCATCCTTATTGTAGTCTGCTCTTCCATGCTTTACAGACCCTTCTTGGGCTCACAGTCATACAAAAACACAACGAAAATGGCTAAACATGAATAGGAAATTAAGATATGATACCATACTTTAAGCAGAACCATGGGGGGTGGGGAGAGAAATGTATTTATATGAAAACTTTCTGCTGAGGTGAAATAGAAGACTTGTTTGGTGCTTTTGCATTGCATATGGTGAAAAGAAAGATAATTCCTTCTGAATAATTCCTTCTGAATTGACTACTGGGACCTATTATTTATAGGATTGTGTATATTGCAATAAAATGTATCTAAAAATTAATTCACCTACTTGACTAGCTGCACTAATATAATTAACTAAATAATTAATTACTAGCAAACATTATTTACAAGTCCACCCTATCTCCCAGACCATACACAGAGATTTTTTTGGAAAATAATGAAGACTATTGAATCACATTCCTTTCACTAAAAAGATTGTTACTAATAATAATTTATAGTAAAAGGAAAAATAATTTTGTACTACTAATAAATAAAATTTTTGTACATGATGTAGACAATTATAATTTGGCCATAGAGACACATGTTATCATCCATATTATTATTAGAGAATCATAGACTATCAGAGCTGAAAGGGACCTTAAAAGTCATTTCATCCAACCCTTACTGAACAAAGTCCCCTACAACTTACCTAATCAGTAATTATTCAATCTCTACTTTTAAAGGGGATGAACTAACTTCCTCAGATTACCTATTCTACTTTCCAAAACTCTAATTGTCGAAAATTTTTGCTTAAGAAGTCTACCTCCCTGAAATTTTCATCCTTTGCTCCTAGCTCTACTATGTTCAACCAAACATATCAAATCTAATCCTTTGTCCATAGGAAAGTTCCTCAAATATTCAAAGACAGCTATCATGCCCCCTGTCTTCTCTTCTCCAGGCTACACACCTCAGTTCCTTCAACTAATCTTTATTTTGGTAAGGCATGGGATGGGATGGGATGGGATGGGATGGTCAGCCTCTTTTGAATATTCTCCACATTCTCAATATCCTTCCTAAAATGTCAGCTACTTTTTATTGACTTAACCCTCTTATTTAAAACATTTACCCTTCTCCAACTCTGAGGCACCTCTCTTTTTCTTCATGATC